TACGTTTTAATTTAATACCAAACGCATGTTTAAGAATGTTATTAATCACTTCATTATTGAAAAATTAAGGAATAAGAATAATCCCTAATTACGAAATTCGTAATTCGTCCAATTTAAAAGCATTACTCGATATCAAGTACTGAATAGTAACACGAAAAGCTTCTATCGTAGTTATACAATTCAGACATGATTTGCGCCTAGTCTCTTTGATGGTTTTATAAATTTAATTTTGATATTTATAAAATTTTATGTGCTAAAACCCCTTGATATATAAGGACACACGAAAGCTGTCATTCCTTTCATGTGCCATTTGGGCGTCTCCAAGACACCAAGAATGGTCTTGAAGACGCCTAGATTGTGCTCTTTTGTTTCGCGAGCTCAAGTTTTTTTCTTTCTCTCCCATCTCCTTTAAAAAGTTCCGGAAACCGCATTTCCGGGGAAAGTGTACTGTAAATTCCATTATATTTTTGTGCCGAAGAATAATATTATTTTGTTTGATGATATATATTCTATATATATTCTTTTCTTCTTTTTCTTATAGCAGTATTATATCGAGAAAAACGAGACAAGTTACTTAAAATATGAAGGTTAAAGACAAAGTTACTAGCTTTATTTAAGGGATGTTACCTCAGTTTACTGTTACTCAAGACAATGCGTTTATCTCAAAGCAATTTTTTTTTTTGTACCAGGAATCAGGAATTTAAAAGGTCAGACGAAAAAAAAGTTCTTGCAGTGAATTATCTCCTATTTCGTCCATAGATGAAATGTTTTAAAATAAAGACAAGACTGTTTTGAAAACAAGAATTCTCTAGCAAAATGTTTTACTATTAGCTCATAACTCACCGTTCCACTTTAAAGTTATTACAACAACTCTCGTCTCTTGTACTGAAAGGCTTTTAATAGGATCTGGTGATAAGTTAGCAATCAATAATTATGACGAAATCTGTTTTTCGGACTGCACTCTAGTAGTCGAGTTGACGCTTTCGGCACCAGTGTTCTATTCTTGGGTTTGGTGCTTAAACTTAATTTCTAAGATCGAAATTTTGAGCAGACCTCATTTTCTTATGTGAACAAGTTTTCTAATTCAAAGTAAGAGAACAGTTTAGTAAATAGTAAGTAAATATGTTTTTTCCCTCATTTTTTATCATATTTAGCAGCTGATTTATCTTGTGAACTTTCTTAATAGTTTTTATGACTTTATTATATTTAACTATTTTCGTTTGAAGATGCTTCATTACTTCCAACTTTTTAGTATGTTTTAAAACAATTTGAAATTTTATTTTGACATCCCAGTTGCTCTAATTTGTAAATAATTTCAAATTTTGTTCCGAGCAGTAAATAATTGCATAATTTATGCAGAAATAAAAAAAAAATCTGTTACATGTTTCATTATATTTGAAACTCAATTACGGTGTAGAAATAATTTATCCTTTTAAAAGTAAAATGTGCTTGTGTCATTTTTAAAATCAAACTCCATGAATATCATATGATGCTCTTTTTTTTGTATGTTGAAAATAGAATGAAATATTCTCGAATGATTGTTCTTTCAATTATTGCGTCTTAGTGTCGGAAACAAGGCGCTTACATCTAAATGTGAGAAAATATTTATAATGTTGGTATTTTTAAAAAAAATTGCCTTTTTAGTTTATTTTTTTATATTTGAAAATTTTTAAAACATGACATAATACAGAATATACATAATACGGAATCTTTTCTAACCAAAAAATAAACATACCAAGTTACCGATCACATTTTAAACGAAATCTTCGTTCCATTGCAAAAAAATGAATGTTTCAGCAGCAAAGTCTATTTTCGAAAGTTACAGAAAACCATATGAATCTTAGTATCTACTGTTTATCGAATCAAAAATTCGTTCCTAACTTTTGTTCATTCTAGACCTCCCTGAACTGAAAGATCACGCGGCTTCAGTTAAACAATGTAATACATCCCGAAGAGTGCTCTGTAAGTTGATACTAAAGACACTTCCCTCGATAAATTAATACCCCACCGTTCTTGTTGCTCAGCTTGAAAGATGTAACGACTTCCACATATATATGTGCTTTTATGTGTCGCATATGTTAAGGTTAGTCCTAATTCACAGTCTTCTCTTAAAACCACCCAAGTGAATTTTCCAAACATACCGCCCTATTACAAAAGCCCCCTGCCAGCACCCTAACCAACATAGTTATACGCCCGCTTGCTCCTCCCTCAACTGACCCCAACCCGAATCATAAAAAAGTCAGGAAACAACGTGGTCCCTTTTTAATTCCCGTCCCTGTCAGTGGGGGTGCTAGAGTCGTTCGTCACCGCAGGACGTTGGATACCTGGGTGTCAGGGTGTCCAACCCGAAAGCGGCGTCCCTTGTTCAAGTGCTACAGGAAAAGCTTTATGGACGCCATTTGGCAGGTTGCACCCACGGAGTCGGAATACCGAGTTTGTCTTGCTTGTTTGCTTGTTGCGCTGTTATGTGCACATTTGAAGTCGCACTACGGGATTTCGATTATAAATTTTTATCCGAGTCAGGAAGAAATAATTTAAACCGTAACCTCGGTAAATGAATGAAGAGAAAATTAGGTGAAACAAGTAAGGAACGGCACTTTAACTTAAAACTCATGAGCAATGAAGAACTGCCATGCTCAAAAATTGCGGCTAAGTTAGTTAAAGTTTAAAATTTAAAATATTTTAAGAGAAGAAGAGTCTTACAACGAAACATTCAAGTCAAATCTGTTCCACTGTCAATGGACAAACGCCGTGGAAGATCTTCAAGAAAAAGGTGCCTATGCTTAAATTTTGGTATGTCCATTTCGCAGCCGTGTGAAAATAACGCCTTGTCGTCCAGATATCAGTAGGGGTCACGGTTGCAAACTCGTGGCCGATGTTGTCAAGTGGTAGTGGAAGTCCTGGTGCCACTGAAAAGAAAGAAAAAAATTAAGTCTTACGTTTTTGCGTTGTGGAAGTTTGAAGAGTGGGATGCCAGCTCTGATGTCGTCTTCGTCACTTCATCGCGACTCAAAATTACATTGCAAATATCCTAAAAGTAGCTTCGAAGTGCGACGTTAATAAAAAATTAAATCTAGACAACAAGAACTTCCAATGAGAAAATTTTACCAATGGTCGCTTATAATTGTTTTAATGTGCTTTTTGTAGTATCGTGGCAAGAGCTAATATTAGTGATTACACCCGATACTGAAGAAGAAACAGTTTTGACTGCTTCATTTGGCCCTTGATTCCAACAAGGAAGGATATTCAACAAAAAATTCGTTGGATACTTTGAGATTTTAAAACATGTATAGTTTCCAGTGATCAGTGGATGAGATGAACAACTGAAATAACGCAATGGCTCCAGGATACTCAATAAATTTATAAAGGAAAGAAAATTTTCATTGTTTCGATTTAAGATTCTAACGTTCTGAGAGAGATAATAGCAGATATCTCAACGGTAAAAACGGAATCTGAAAGGCACCAAGAGACAATTCTACTACATAAGAGACCCCAATTTGATTCATGGGCTTATGGACCATCACAAAAAACAAATAATATTATATAATCTTTTTCTCTCTCTCTTTATTAAATGTTTTAATTTTTTTATGTAAAAAATAAGACGCTTTGTGTTTAATCTTACTTATGAGGTGCATTAACTTTATATTAATTTTGATATTTTATTTATTAATAATTATTATCTTAGAGTATTTTTTATTGTTAGATATAACAGCAGTACCTCGATACTGCATTGAATGATATTTTTACTTTTCAAATTGTGGTTATAAGAAAATTGTTAGAAATCTATTTCATTAGTTGCTACTTTTATTTAAGTACCAGGGCTGCTTTTACTTTACTTAGGCTTTTTTATTTCAAGACGACCCCTCGTCGCAATCCGGTCTCGCAAACCTTATTACCATGGGTGCTAGCGAGGTGTTCATTCTCATGAATGCTAATAGAATCTTCCTTCACCCACAAAACCAATGACTATTCCCTCTTTCCCCCAGAATAAAAGAGGGGAGGATTTGCGATCTTTACGATACCTTCGAGATTCTTGGCTATAAATATTAAGCTTAGGCGTAATAATATTTACCTTGGCCGCGGTTGTGGGTCCAACCGCGCCAACTGCTAGCTGTGATGCGCGAATTCTGTTTTGTTTCTGTTATTTACTTTAATTGATTGGGGGGCCCAAGTCACCGGAAAGGCCCACTTGGGGGGCCCTTGTGCTCATAGTGAGTCCTGTGATGTGCGTGTAAATAAGTCACTTGATAAGCTTGTTTGGACGTCTCTGATTGGGTAAGAAATTAGTTGCGAACATTGGTAGGTGATGTGGTCCAGGTAGGGACAGTTAAGTATTTTGACTTGGAAATAAGTTGCGTTGAAGCATCACAGGTGTACTTGCGTGTAAACGCATTAAACATTTTGATGCAGTGCTTATCGTTTAATTTTATTGATTTTCGGGCATTGTTTCGTCGCTTTTTGGCTGTTTCATAAAGACATACTATATTACTAAATAAATAATCATAGCAGTTGTTTTTCTATTGTATTAGTAGAAGGAGAGAAGAGATTATAGAACCTTCCATAAAAAGTATATTTACGCTTATAAATATATTTATATTACTTATATTATATATTTGAAATATTTCGATTTTTCGGCCTATTTGCTGCATTCTTAGTGGATTAGTGAATTCTTACAATATTTTATTGCTGAACAGACATTTAAAACTGCAGGTGCGGCTTTCTAATTGGTATGAACAAGTAATATAAAAAAAATTAAGTCAATTCCTACTTAGGTCAACAAAGAAGAATTTTATTTTAGTTACTTTTTATAAAATAATTACAACATAAATATGTATATACAAATGACAGAATCACAATATTAAGTGACAAAATAGAAAGCGATTTTCCTTTCTGTATATGGTGTTAGACTTTGTTTTTGTTATTATTTATTCATCAATTAAATTTAATCATTCCAATAAAATAGTATCGTAAAAAAAATTCCACATTTTCGGAAATTAAACCATCCCAGGTGGAATTCGAACCTACGACCTTTGGATTAGATGTCCAACGCGTCATCCATTGCGCTACAGGGACACAACGAGCGATTTTCCTTTTTATATATGCTGTTGGACTATTATTTTTGTTTACTATTTATTCATTAATTAAATTGAAATAATGAATTAATATTTGAAAAAAATGTATTTGAACTTGAGCGGATTTTATTAACAATTGAAAATTTGATCAAGATGTATAAAATATATAAAGAGAGAGAGGGTGAACTAATAGCAGGAATTGAAAAATATCTGTACAGAGGAAGTTATCATTAAGCACCAACTGAATATATATTTAAATGAAATTAATATGTGATAATGTATAGTTTATGAAAGGAAAATAATTTTGTAGATTGTGCCAAATTTTAATTCTAACTTAATAGTACCTACTAAAGTCTTCGTACAACATTTTTTTAAAAAAAATATTTGCTTGGTAGAACCTATTGCAACCAATTTGCATAATAACTATAAACTCAATAAATATGTCAGTTTCCTTTCAAACATCATTTCCTTCTTAAAAAATATCGAATTGGGCTTTACAGTGAAAAGAAACTATGAAATAATTGGTAGGTGATACCAGCAAATAAACTTTAAATGACAAACTGTTCCCTAAAACGATTTGAAGGTTACGTGAATATTGTATGAATGTCACATAAACTTTTTGAATTAATTTCAATTATATTAAATCAAATTTATAATATAAGTAAAACAAAAATACTCTTGCTTGAAAACTTTGTAAAAATATTCAAATTTATACTACGAAATATTACATTTAGTGAATTGAAACTCTATCTCTTTCTGAATATCCTTCATATTTTTCATGGTGAAAAGCGATGGTTAAGGTATCCGACTACTTCTCTCTTGCGACACCTTTTTTTTTTTTCTTAAATGGAGACATGGGGATTTGTTTAGTAAATTTTAAGAAAAATATGCTAAAATTAAGAAGAGAAAATGGAATTATTAGTACTAAATTGGGGAAAAATGGGTTAGAATTTACACAAAATAACATAAACGTGGCCCATTCTGTACCAAAAGTTTATGAACAAATTTTAAATTTTTCAATTCTGATGTGTCGCTATATTATTCACTTTTGAAATGACCTTCAGGATAAGAGATGTTTTAGTTTTTACAAAAACTAGAGCACTTTATCTTAGTTTTTATATGAAATTGCTTAAAAAAACAGTGGTTATATTCACATAAAGTACTGTAAATTTTGTAATAAAACAGTGATTGATAAATCTGAAGATAAAAACACTTCTACTATGATACACAGATCATACACAAAAAATCTCAGTTAATTATTTTCAAAACTTTTTTAGCAATCACTGTCCCCTTTTGAGCATTTTTAAAAAAACACACATTTCGATTAAAACGCGTTTTAAAGTATGACATCTCGCTTAAAGAGTAATAGTATCTGCTTTTACTCAAACACTTGTAGTTTTTGTTCCAGGGAACGGAAAATAATAAACCTGGTATTTTTATAAAGCTAATAAGATGGTCTATAAAATAAAATCATAAAAAAAAAAATTAAATTTGTTACTTTTTGGCAAAATTCATAATTTTAAGGAAATCAGGTACCTTAAATTCTAGTTTAATAAAACATGGAAAAAAACCATTGTAAATCATACCTATGTAGCGATAAAATAATACATAATAAGAAATTAGATTTCAGTGAACACTTTGTGATAAAATTAATTAAACAAAACAGATGCAATATAAATGCACACATCAAATAAATACAATTTATTTTAGTTGACTTTTCCAAATTAATAATTTAATTATATAAAATGCTATATTTGCTTATGAAAGAGAGAAATGTGTACGATCAAGTAGCTTTCTGATGGATTTATTATCTCAATCATGAAATGTGTTGCTTAACACTATTATTAATCGAAGAAAACGCGTTTGGTTTTATTTTGATATTTTTATTGTTTTTCAATTGTTTGCTAGTTAAATATGTACATAAAGAAAAGGTTTATTATGAACTTAAATAAAAACTGCTTATATTTTTTTCCGTAGCTAATTGTGCTAGATTTTTTAAACATTATCTTGTACATTTGTTTATTTACTTTACTCCTTTTTACAATGGAAATAACAATGATAAATGATGTTAATTGCTTTAATGCTGCTTTAAATTTATGTGTTTGAAAAAAGTTTAATTCAGGCTTGTGTGGTGCATTTAGATGTGTAACTATTGCAGTTATGTCACCTGAAAGCTTAATTTAAAATTTTGTGTTGTTTACCTAAGTATTCGATGCTGCTACGTAAAATAATTTTTTTTTTATCCACATGTTTGAAAAAAGATTTGAAATAAACCATTATATTGAAAAATAGTGGATAATTTTATGCGTTAAAATTTTTCTTTAAAAAGAACAAACCGTTGTTTCTGAAGTCTTATCAAAGTAGTAAATTATAAATCACAATGATATTTTCATAAAAACAAAAATGTAATTCATTTTTTGACTCATCACAATTTATTAGCATATATCTAGTTTTAAATATCAGTAACGAGTACAATTTTTTCGCTGGGATTCATTGTATTGAAGAATACGCAAGTGTATTTATTCTTCTTTATAACAATACATTGGTAGAATATAATACATATTTAATTTCTTTATATACATATAGAATGATGTAGTGTATTTTGAGTGGCTTTTCTGTCAACGTTTTTAAAATTTAAATGTTTAATTGTGCTTTAGCAATTTTTTAAAAACTTTTTGTAGAAGTAAAACCATTCCATTAATTCAATGGTTTCGCATATTTCTGTATAAAAAGAAACTGAATTATACGGAGTTAATAAAAAAAGGTGCCGAAATAAATTAGATACTATCTTGAGATCATTGATATTGAAATAGAAAGACAAATTCAACACTTGTAATTTACTTGAATAACTCGAAGGTGTAAGTCTTATTTCTAAAACACATGCGCAATCCTAAAACTGAAATGTGTCTTTAATTATTTTTATACACTTACCAGGAAAAAAATGTGTTAGAAATGTCAGAAATATGTATACTTAAAGATTTAATATAGTTTTTTTTATAAGTCGCAAAATAAATTGAAAGAATCCTTGTAAAAAAATTCTTTTGAGCATTTTTAAAACTTTTACCCTTTTATAAAAATTGTTTTTAATTGTAGTTTTAAATAAAAAGAGATTTTGAATAAATGCTTCACGTTTTATACTCTGAAAATGCGAGGTATTTCAACGAAACTGATTTCTATATTGTAGTTGAACATTGTAAAAATTAAATTAGTAAAAACGTGTACTTAACATTCATTTTTAAGGTTTTTAAAAAAGAAGCTTAAATGTCATTGGTTTAACGTTTATTAGAATCCTTCGGTATAAATATATCACGCTTCCACCTTGTTAAATGTATCAAAAAATTGTCTTTCTATTTCACAATTAGACAAGTTAAAAAAAAAAACTTTCTTTTAAAATACCGTAATTCGAAATACTTCTCACGCACAGGGTGTACTGCGATTCCCGCCCAGCTGTGACACCGCGACTGCTCCACCGGTGTCGCGCGCAGGTACTGTCCCCACCCCCTCGGATGCTCTGCGACATCACCAGGTTGACATTGCGACTGTCACTGCGCAGTGAGTCCGTCACCACCGACCAATCGTCACCCTCGGCGGGAGGAGCGACGGCACGATGCGGCCGCTGTTGTCCGCCGTTCCTCGTCGGCAGGTGTCGCGGGCACGACTGTCGCGAAGCCACCGTCAGCGAGCGGCCGTTGTCGGAAGGGGGAAACCCCGCTGTGCGACGCCGGAATCCGGAAGGGTTTTTCCGGGGATCTGCGCTCGCTGCTCTGCTCTCTTTCTGCTAGGGAAGCGAGGGTGGGTGAGCGTGGAGAGATCAGTGCAGATTAGATCCCGTGCGTTTGTTTTTAATTTTTGTTAAGAGTCATTGTTTTAGTCAGCTGTCCTTTTGGCGCTCTTTCAGTTACTTATTTCTGAGAGGAAACGTTCAATACTGATGATGTGTGTCTTTATGTATAAGGAATTCTTTCCCTCCCTTCTCATATATGAAAGATTGAACATCTAGATATGATTTTAAATTAAGATAGCGTTTACTACATGAGCAAAGCTCATTATTTTCATAAAATTTTCAAGAACAATGAAAAATGTGTTTGTCAACGGAGGTGAAATTTATATATATATTGCATTTTTCTTCTTGTTGACGAAAAGAAAATGAAAAGGAAAACTATTTCAAAATATTAAAGGCAAAATTATTTTTAAAGTTTCTTTTTATTGTGATAAAAATGATAAAACTTTAAAAAAAGGAAAGGATTTGTCGACCTGGTTTTAATCAAAGCACCGTGATTATATTAGTTGTTATTTATTTGTTGTAAATTCGTTAACCCCATTTGTGATTTTACTTATCAAAGAAAACATTCCTACCCATAAGTTTAGGAATAGACATATAATTTTAAGAAATCGTAATCCAAACACTTCGCTGAAAATTTGCTTCTTTGGTCTCAGTGTCATATCGATAGGGCGTTATCACAACTAATTTCAAGGCATAAATTTCTTATAAAAAATACCTCGTATTTTAAATTTTAGGCCACAGTGTTGCTTAAGACATGGATGACTCACATTTATTTACAATCACAAATAGCTTTCGTTCAGGATCTATTGGAATATACCTTTTTAATTTTTTTTTCATTTGCTTGTGACAACACGACTTTGATCAACTGAAAAATCATCAATGGTTTAATTTGTTCATTAAAACATGAATATAGACTTCCTTCCGAGACAAAAGTGAACAATTGAGAAGTTTTTTCTCTTAAAAGGAGAAAAAGGAAAGTCAAGGTCAAAGATATTAAATCTGTTTCAATTTCGTGCAAAAATCTCATTTTTTTCCTGCATACTGTGGATTTTTTTAAGAAAATTATTTTTCCTTAATTTGTCATTTTCTTACATTTATATTTATAATGTTACTTTCACTAAAATTAAATTTACCAGATAGTTAACATCACAATCACAGTCAAAGAAAATAATGGGAAATAAGTAAGTTTTTAATGCTGTAAAATCTATGTGTGTGTG